TCTGCCTACCTCTGCAAAGAGGGGAGGGAGAGATGTGCCTTCTCATCTCCCCTCTTTGCAACAAATTTGGTCATTACTATTTCTTATCACTTAATTTTAATCACCATGTTATTGTTCTCTCCATTTACATCTTTGCAGTTATTATGCACATAATTTTCCTGTTTCTGATGACTTCACTTTGCATGAGTTTATAAGTCTTCCCATGATCATTTGCTGTACTCATCATTTCTTACAACACAATGATATCCCATCACTGTACATTCATGCACCACAACTCATTCGGCCATTCTCCAATCAATGGGCATAGACCTTGTTTCCAATTTTTCCCTAATATAATGGGCTGTTACTGTCAATAATAACCTCTAAAAGAAATTCCGAGAAGCACAGAAAGCCGTGCACCAAGCGCCAATGAAGCAAGACTCGGAAAAGCAACACACACAATGACTACAATACATGAGAACGTAAATGGAAAGAACACTAAAAGAAAGCTGAACTCTGAAAAGCCGGAATGAGTAATTTTAGTCATGGAGAACCATAAAGTGGGACCTATTTCCTGCTCTCAGAAGACAGGCGGGAATCTATTTAGAGAGATCATTACCCCTCATTCCTGCCCTGGCTGCATGGCTTTGGGAGCTTTTCTTCCAGGCACCCTCTCCGCCCCAATCCCATTTCTAGCTTCCTGTGGTGCAAGCTCTTCCTCCGTTATATAATTTTTTTCTTATTTATATCCCCAGCACTTAGCACAGTGCCTGGCATATAACAGGTGCTTAACAAATGTTTATCGACTACATACACAGTGAGATGCAGTCACAGTATCAACTGTTTCTGTTTCTTTTTTTTTTTTGGTGAGGCAATTGGGTTTAAGTGACTTGTCTAGGGTCACACTGCTAGTAAATATCAAGTGTCTGGTCTGAGGCCGTATTTGAACTCAGGTCCTCCTGATTCCAGAGCTGGTGCTCTACCCACTGCGCCACCGAGATGCCCCTAACATCAATGGTTTTTGCTTAACTCTTTTTCTTTGTCATAAGAGTTAAATTCTGCAATGAGAGTGGACAGGAAGGTGTTCTCCAGAAATGACACCCGTATCAAAATGAAGAAATTACATGAATCTAGAAAAATCAGTGCATAATGATGATTGTGATACATGATCAAATGCATCAAACTACCACAAACTGTATTTTGTTAACCAAAATATATACCCAGGTCATACCCCTGAAAAGTTTACACATTAAGTAAATAGGAGGCAGTGTGGTAATTTCTGAATCTGCTATGTGTCGTAACACCACTGATTCAGTAACACAAAGCTCTAAGTTAGGGAGGCCACATGTGACCTTGAGGCCCCTGAACTTAAACCAATACCAAATTAGAAGATCAAAGATGAAAACATAACACCATGGAATTACAACAGTTTCAGGCAGACTTTATCTAACAAGCTACCGATATCAAAAAATAGGAAATAAAGAAAACGACAATGACATAAACCAACATGATTTCTTAGAGAAGTTTAACTAATTTCTCTGACAAAAGCTCAGAAACTTCCTTGGCCAACATCTGTAGGTTTGGAATATTTCCTGTCATCTTTATTCTGCAGGAATGATTCTTAATCTGGAATTCATGAATTTGTTTTTTAAAATATTTTTATAAATCTATTCTAATATTTTAAAAAATATTTTTATAAATATATTCTAATATCAAATACTCTAGTATTCCTTTATAATCTAACATACTTTATTTTACACATTTAAAATTTATTCTGAGTAGTCCCGAGGTTTCACTAGACTGCCAAACAGATCTGTGATACACTAAAAAAGTTAAGACCATTGCTCTAAAGGATTGTTGTGAGGATCAACTGACACGAATGTCTGTAAACTGCCTCACTAAACTTAAAGGCTTACAAAAGTATCAGTTTTTATTGTTATTATTCTTTGCTCAGCACAAACACATGGCATCCTAGGACGACAGTAGTGTAGGATAGAAACTTATCTGCAAAACATTTTATGAAAGAGTATGGCAAGTGAAAGATTTTACATAGGAATGCCTTACAAAATATTGGAAAAGTAGTAGTGGGAAAGTGTACAGAATACTTGGAGTGAGACCCAACCAAGCCAGAACATCCCAGGGTTCTTTAAAAATGTAAGAAAAAGTTCACAACATAGCTTACATGTAAATGGGCTTTGCATGACTACACATACACATGTAACTTGTGTCAAATTGCTTGCCTTCTCAATGTGGGGGGAGGGGAGAGAGAGAATTTGGAACTCAAAATTTGAAAACAGGATGTTAAAGTTGTTTTTATATATAATTGAGTAAAAAAATAAAATGTTAAATGTTAACAAGAGAAAGAAAAAAGACAACTGACAAAAGTGTCAGCGTTTCCATAACAAACCATTTAACACCAATTTTCAACATCACCCTGGTCTCCAGGGTGCCATATGAGAAAGTAGAAATGGTATCACAGAAAATAAATGCAGAAAGTCTGGCTAAACCAGGCCAAGCAGAGCCAGAAGAAAACTAAGATGGGGATGGGGGGGGCAGTGGCAGGACTTTGAAAGTGGGACTAAATTTCAGAACCTGAAAGAGAAGATACCAAATAATGGAAAAAAATCACAGACAGACAGCCTAACTCTCCAGACAAGGCAGCTGGGAGGGCAGCAATCACTACCAACCTTTACACCTTTCTTGTTCTAACACAATGTTTTTCTGTTCAGTTTACCCTAACACTTTCCTAAAAAATAAATTTATTTATTTTTAGTTTCCAGCGTTGACTTCGATAAGATTTTGAGTTCCAAATTTTCTCCCCATCTTTCCTCTCCCCCCACCCCAAGATGACGTGTAATTTGATATAGGCTCAACATATACATTCATATTAAAGCCATTTTCATGTTAGTCACATTGTAAAGAAGAATTAGAACCAATGGGAGAAACCACAAGAAAGAAGAAACCAAAAAAAAGAGAGAGAGAGAGAGCGCAAATAATACACTTTGATCTGCATGTAGACTCTATAGTTCTTTCCCTGGATGTGGACAACATTTTCCATCATGAGTCTTTTTTTTTTTTGGAGTTGTCTTAGATCCTTGCATTGCTAAGAAGAGATAAGTCTATCAAAGTCAGTCATTGCCCAATGTGGCTGTTACTGTGCACAATGTTCTCCTGGTTCTGCTCACTTCACTCAGCATCAATTCATATAAGTCTTTCCAGGTTTTTCTGAAGTCTGCCTGCTCATCATTTCTTATAGCACAATAGTATTCCATTACATTCATATACCACAACTTGTTCGGTCATTCTCTAACTGATGGGCATCCCCTCAATTTCCACTTCTTTGCCACCACAGAAAAAGTTGCTATAAATATTTTTGTACATGTAGGTTCATTTCCCATTTGTAACAATATTTTTGAGAATTATCCAATGCCATCTTGAGGGAATTCTTGATGAAAATAGGAAAAAGAATAGGGTTTTCACAAGCCATTTTCTATAGCAGACATCTCCATTCACATAAATGACTGAGAGGTGCAGAGAACACAAGATCCTATTATGTTTACTATTTGTTGATATAAAAAAAAGCACTGGACTCAGTAGGGACAAAACGCAGCCTTAAGGGTTCTCCTCCAACAAGGTGTCTCCAATGCATGTTAAGATTCCTTGATAGATGAAATCAGAGACAACTTATTTTCAACAACATTCTGATTATCTCTATCAAATATGACATAAACCAGGAAAGCAAATGCAAGGGTTTGCAATTGTCATCAAAGATATCCTACATAAAGTCCAAATGGAAGTGGGATTTATTGAGGTCCTCCATTTGTGGGTGACACTGTGCTGGGGCAGTTTACCTCTCCCAGATTCACAACATATTCCTACCCTTCATGTAGGTCCAACCAAACTGGTCTATCAGCCAATGCTCCCACACAATGCTCTTATTTCCAGTGTTCGTACCTCTGCCCAGACTAGTCCCATTTGGAGAATGCATCGCTCCTCATTTCTTTCTCTTAGAACTCCTAGCTTTCTTAGAACACAGGACATCAGAATTGGGAGGGCCCTTAAAATCCAGAATGTGAGAGCTGGGAAGGGCCCTTCTAACACAGAATGTCAGAGCTGGGAGGACCCTTAGAACACACAATGTCAGAGCTGGGAGAACCCTTAGAACACAGGATGTCAGAGCTGGGAGGACCCTTAGAACACAGAGTGTCAGAGCTGGGAGGGCCCTTAGAACACAGAATGTCAGAGCTGGGAGGGCCCTTAAAACACAGGATGTCAGAACTGGGAGGGGCCTTAGAACACAGAGTGTCAGAGCTGGGAGGGGCCTTAGAACACAGAACGTCAATGTTGGGAGGGCCCTTAGAACAGAATTTCATTTAGAACATAATGTCACATGGAACCCAGAATGTCAGAACCATGATGGAACTTAGAACCTAAAAACATCAAGGCTAAGAATCTATGTCAGAACCGAAACAGAACTTAGAACCTAGGGTGTCAGAGGTAGGGGTGAGTGGGGTCCTGGGAACTTCAGAACTGCAAATCCATGTGTTACAACAGAGAGAGCATTGGTTTTGGAGTCAAGGGATCCCGGTTCAAATCCCACCCCTGCCATGCCTCTGTGACCTCGGGCAAGTCACTTCCCTTCTCTGGACCTCAGTTTCCTCAACTGTAAAATGAAGGGCTTGCCTTCCAAGGCCGTTGAGCTTCCTTCCAACTCCAGCTCTAAGTTCATCTCGTCCCTCACTTGGCAGAGGAGCCTGCCCTTCCCAGCCCCACGCGTGACCCCACGCTAATGGGAGTGGAAAAGAGATCACTACAGGTCAGTGACCTCTTACCCCGGGTGACGTGCCTCAGGTCTGGAAAGGGCGGGCAAGAGTGTCCCCGCGGTAACCTCTGACCCACGCTCCTCCAGGTGCCCGGATGGTGACCCCTGACCCTGAGGCTATGAGACTTGGAAGCCAAGCTGTGAACCCCCTGAAAGACCCCTCCAAGCTCAGGGTGGTGCTTTCACCCGACGTACGCACCAGTCAAACTTGCCCACTTGGTCCTCGTATACGGCCGTCGCCGGGGCCAGGAGCGCGGCCAACAACCACAGCCGAGCGGCAAGCGGCGCCACCATGATGAAGAAACCGGCCGTGGGTCCGGACCGCCGCCGGCCCGGCATGCACAGCGCTTCCGGCCTCGCGGGATCATCTCGGGGGAAGGCGCAGGCGCGTGCTCCGGAGCTGGGCGTGGAGGCGGGGCAGCCGAGCACGCTGCTGTGCGAGGGCGCAGAAGCGACGGGAGCCGGGATCAGGCACTCGACATAGGCACCTTGGGCAGTCGGGATCCCAAGAGCCCTCGCGGCTCCGGGGTCCTCGCAGGCTCAGCCGGAAGAGCACACGTGCTGGGAGCAACATGCCTAAGTCCAAGCGGGACAAGAAGGGTGAGTCTTGAGGGCTGGGCTGCGGGGGCTGCCGAGGCAGCCTCGGGGCGTGTTCTAGGGAACCGAGGACCCTCATCCCATCCCCGAGCAGCTCGGGCCCTTTGCAGGTTCCCTAGAAGCGAGGGCCATTGGGGAAATTGAGGCGGGGAGAGGGGCAGGGCCTTCTCCCTCTTAACCGCAATTTTCCTTCCGCCTTTACAGATGAAAACGGGCGGGGGTGGGGAGGTAGGGTCAGCGGGTCAGCACCTTGTCCAGCATCGCTCCACGTTCAGGGTTTCCTCTAAGCTCGGGAGCGCCTTGATGTTGCGCCTGCTGTGTGCCGCGCACTGTGCTAAGCGCTTTACAATTGTCTTTTCTTTGATCTTCGCCACCACCTTGAGAAGTGGGTGCGACGTAATCCTTATTTTACAGATGGGGAAACTGAGGCAGACCTAGGTGAAGCAGTTTGCCTGGGGTCACACAACTAGGTAGTGTCTGAGGCAGGATTTGAACTCGGTCCCATCGTGGAGCTGTCCTTTTCACCACCTGGATGCCTCAGTTCTGTTGATACAGACCTTCCTCCAGGGCTCCTCCCTGATCAAGTGAAATGATGGTTGTAAAGTGCTTTGCAAACCTGCCAGTGCTAGCAATTCTTGCTCTTGGTGCTGTCCTCACAGCACCCCTGGGAAGGGGAGAGGCCAACAAGCATTTATTCATCACTTACTGTGTACCAGGCTGTACTAAGCAGACACCCTGGATTTGGAATCAGAATCTGGGTTCCGATCCCAGCTGGCCCTGGGACCTTTTCCTTCCTGGAGCTCAGTCTCATGTTCTGAAACGTGAAGGAATTGCCTAGGTGATTTTTAAGCCCCATTCTATAATAATTTATGGTAATCCCTCCCACGATGCCCAAGGTTACTTATGCAGCTGGTCAGTGGTAGAGCTGGGGCTTGCCCTCAAGCCTCAGCATTTCCAGACCCAGTTTTTTGGTGCTTCTTTTTGTACTTCTGTCCCGAGGCAGTGTATCTTTAAATACAAATTTCTTCTGAGCAGATCGATGGTTCTGGTGTAGGGAAGGTGGGCAAGTAAAGGGCTAGTCACTGGTCCTTTGGATATTGAAATCTCCATCTTGGGCTGAGTAAAACCGTGTGTCCTTCCCCGAAAGGCTTCTGTCTCCAGTTGTGGGATGGAACAGTTAACCTTCACCTGCTTTGGTCACTCCTATCTGTATTCCACCATCTTGAGCCTACCAAAACTAAGCAGTCATTCTCTTCTCTGTCCCAGTTTCCTTAACGAAGACCGCCAAGAAGGGCTTAGAACTCAAACAAAACCTGATAGAAGAGGTAAGAGGAACATGGTGTTGATGTGGTTTTGGGAGGTTCAGGGACCCCCCAAGGACCAAAGTCCAGGACAGGGTCCTCTTGAATGAACTCAAGCAATCTTCCAGTCAGGTGGCAAAAATTTTATTGTGATGCTAATATGGTGGGCAGAGCTCCTTAAGGAATTCTGCAGCCTAACTGGAATGATGCTAAAGCTTATATAGGAAAAGTAGTCGATTGTGTGCCAGGTATGCTAATTAGGTGATAACATACAACCTTGGTCACAGGTATCTTGTACTACTTTACTGCTGGAAAGGAGGGGGAGGGTTCCTAAGGGGCGTAGGGGTGTGTTTTTGTCTGTTATGTCAGAGACAAGATAGATTTGGGGGTTGATGTCTGTAACTTGACCTCAGAATCTTATGTAAGTTATCTTGATAACTGTGGGAATCTGTACATGATAATTTTGTTGATACAAGATAATGAGATAGTTTATCTCACTGGGCCCACTCCTGAGTTATTGCCAGAGAAAGGGTCTTTGAGCTGGGGAGAAAACTGTCAGGGATAGTGTTTTGAGGCTAGAGAGAAATATGGTCTTGGAACTGAGGTTCGAGCAGCCCATCAATGTCATCATTTTCCATCCCTCCTCTGACAAAAAGCTAAGTGTTTGAGAGAGTCTGGGAAATTAGCCACTTAAACAGTGATAGAATTACAGAGTTGATGATATTAAGCTCTTCTGACAGCTCGGGTAGAAGTGCCAGAGAGGGAGGTTGAAGCCTAAAGAAGCAAGAATTTCATTAGGGTTAGTGGTCTTAACAAGAGAAGTAGTGACCCCTGTTAACGGAAGGACTCTGGCAGAGGTTAGAACGGGGATTTCTGCATGACGTGGGAGGGGCAACTAACAGCTAGGGAAAGGGCCATAAGGGCCTTTTGTGGAAGGCAGCACCTGAGCTGACACTTGAAAGAAGCTAAGGATTCTCAGGTGTGTAGCACAACCCGTGCAGAGTCACGGAGGGGGGAGGTGACAATGTTGTGTTGCAGGAACTGGAATCCACAAGACCTGGAAAATGATTTGATCCAAAGGAGTGGGAGAGAGGGAAGAGTGTAGTAGGACTCAGCTTGTAAACCTAGGAAGCTGAAAGGCTGGTGATACCCTCTGGAGAAATGGGGATTCAGCAAGAAGTCCCAGCCTTAGTTTTTTCCTAAAACACTGACCAATTAAATTCAACGAATATTTGTTATGTACCTGTAGTGTGCACAGCGCTGTGTCACAAGCTGTGGATGCACCCAGCCCCCCAGCCCCCCCCCCATGGACCGTAGTCTAAGAGGGAATAAGACACCAGCACATACAGGCTCAGGGCCTTAGATGTTGTAGGGAAAAAGTAATAGGGGAGGGGCTGAGAGGCCTGACCTCTTGAATTTTCCCACAGCTTCGAAAATGTGTGGACATGTACAAATACCTTTTCATCTTCTCTGTGGCAAACATGAGAAACAGCAAATTGAAGGATATCAGGAGTGCCTGGAAGCACAGCCGGTGAGAAGGGAGCCGGGGCCGGGGCCGGGGCCTGGGGTGGCGTGGCGTGTTACTCTTGCCTTCTGTTCCAAGGATGAGTCCAGTTCCAGGCAGGCTGTCTTCTCATTCAGCATACACTGCAGCTTTTGCTGACCTTGGACATTGCCAGCATATGGGCAGCTGCATCTTGTCTTAAACCTCCAAAGAGTGAAAATCTCTATTGATCAAAAACATTCTATCTCATTTTATACTTTTCCTTCCATTAAACTGACTTTTATTAAATGCTTATTACATGCTGAATACTAGCAATACAAAAGTGGAAAATGGCACATTCCAGGCATCCAAAGAGTTCCTGTGCTAAGTATGATAGAAGGCAGAACATGATGGGGCATGAGAATGATATAGTTGACATTTACAAAACACTTTCTTCATAAGAACCCAATAAATTTTAAAAAAACATTTTTAAATCCCAGTGAATTAAGGAATGCAAGAATCATTTCCCCTACTTTACAGGCATAGGAATGATGCCTAGAAATAAGGAACTTGGCCAAGGTTACATAACTAGTAGGTGGAAGAGCTTACACTTGAATCCTGGTCTCCTGAAATCCATTCTCTTTAGAATAAATTTATTTGTTTTTATGAGTATTTATAATCTGTCTCTCCCACTGCCCCCCTCCCCTTGAACAAATTTTAAACAAATGAGTCATAAAATGAAAAATAAAACTCATCACAAATGTGCTTAGTCAGCAAAACATTCCCACATTGACTACACCCAGAAATGTCTGTCTTTCTTTGTTACGTTCATCTCCTCCCTGGCAGGAGTAATATGTTTCATCCTCAGTCTTCTGGGCTCGTGGTTTATCATTGCTTTGATCAAAGTTCTACAAGAGTTGCTAGAAATATTTCTGTACATACAGGTCCTTGGTCTCTTTTTTTTTCCTTTGGGGAATAGACCAAGTCAGTCAATCCAGGCCCACCATGTGCCAGACGCCGAGCTAAGCACTAGGGCTGCAAAGAAGGGTAAAAGACAGTCCCTGCTCTCAAGAAGCTTCTGGCCTAATGGCCCAGCAATGATGTAATTGTGTCAGAGTGTGTGCTGCACTCAGGAGCTCTTGGGTATTGCACCCAGTCGTGCCAGAGTCGCTGCACCGGTTCACAGTTCCGCTCACAGCAAGTCCGTGTGCCTCTTTCTCTGCAGCCACTCCAGCATGTGTCGTCAGCTTCGTTGGTCATTTTTGCCATCTTAATGGATGGGAGCTGGAACCTCAGAGTGGCTTTAATATTAGCAACAATGTTGTTGTTGATAGTTTGGATTTTTATCCACAAAAACTACCTGTTCGTGTCCTAGTGTTATACTTGAATTGTATACGAGTCTTTTTTACCTTACTTTAAGCAGCAGCAGGATGGAGTAGAGAAAGTGCTGGGCCTGAATTTCAGTCCTGCATCTTACCCTACTAGCTGTGTAACACTGGGTCAGCAACTCTTATCCTCTAAGCCTTGGTTTCCTCATTTGTACAGTGGGAATAGTACTGCCTGTAGTATCTCCCTCCCCAAGTTGTCATGAAGCTCAAATGAGGCAGTATATGTAAAAACTTGACTAAGTTTTTTTTTTTTAATTTCTACTTAATTGTGAGCTCTTGCAAGCAGATTCTGTTTGGAGGCGTACCCTTGTATCCTCAGCCCTGAACATGAGCAGCTGCTACACAGAGAAGTCACTTAAGAAATGTCTCTGAATTGAATTGAAGGCTCAGTGCCGTTGTAGGCCGATTCCTTAGGACTCGGAAGGTCTGTGGAGTCCAGTCTAGGGGCATCAGGCAGGCACCTCAGCATGATGATGGCGATTTCCATTCTGTAGTGACCCAAGGCTTACGGACCACTTTCCTCACAGCCTGCCCACCTCCCCCAAGAATGAGCAGATCAAGGCCTGGTCT